GGTGAGGGTAGTAGCGCTAGGGGCGTTTCCTCTCGGGGTGGAGCACGTGCTTGCACGTGTTCCGAGCCTTCGGTAGAGTTCCTATAGGTTGACTAGGGGAGTCTTCACGGGGTAAAACCCGTGGGGGCACCGTAGTCGGTAGGTAGGGGTCCGGGGTAGAGGTCATAGGTCGCTTGATCTTTACGGGGATCAAGAGTTAGGTGTGTTAGTATGACTCAAGGTTAGTCTCGGGGCAGTCGGGGTAGACTCGGGGGACGGGTAGATGTCGGGGGCGTGACCCTCGAGGGGCCATTGGTGAGGTATAGACTTCACCGGAGGGGGTCACTTAGACGGTCTAGGGAGTCATACTAGCCTAGGTCTTGGGTAGCCTTCGGAAGCGGAGATGTCGAGGGACACTCGCTTGGGTAGGTTAGGTGTGTCGTGTCACGCTGAGACGTGTTTATGACACGCTCGGTAAGAACTCCTCTAATAACGGTGTTCCAATGCGCCTTGGATCATGCCGGGAGGTGGAGTTAAAAATGGAAGTAAAAAGGGGAACTTAGCGTGTTAGGGATGGTTGGCGTGTTTGCTTCATATTTGTTTTGCAGGTTTTGAAGAAGAAGGTGGAGATTTGTTGGAAGCATTCTTCGTCCAAACCCGCTGATCAGTTTGGAGGCTTCCAAAGCCTCGGAATGAAGCAGAGTCTCTGAGGGGTATTTTGGGAAAGTGTAAAGGACGCGTTATGAGTCCTAGGGTTTTCGGGTTTTCAGAACAGATTGCGTTTTCGGTCTTCTCTCTAGGTTTTCTTCTCTCTCTCTCTCTCTCTTGGCGAACTTCGGTTCTCCGGTTGCGCTGTAGTCGACTCCGGTCGATTCTCCGGCGTGTTTCTGTGTTGTACCTAGCAAATAGCGGTTCCCTCTTCCCGAGACGTAGGCACCGAGCGTTAGAGCTCGGTACCGAACTCGTAACTCCGGTGTCTCCTTTCTTTTTCTGTTCTTGAGCACACACGAGCGAATCGGAGACGAATCGGTGAGGGATCGCGGTCGAAATACTCTACAATATTGATTTTAAATTTTCATGTTTCTCTTTGTTTTAATGGATATTATCAAGTTGAATATATATATATATATATATGTTATTCCCCCAACATCCGATTGTATTGTCGAAGTGAATCTTCGAATTAAAAATATCGGAGACGTATACATGTAGATTAAAGGTCAGTTAAAAAAATTATTTATTTTTAAACAATTTGTTTTATGTTTTCAAATGTTGTATATTGATTTAAATTTTTATGTAATTTGATTTTTAAAATTCATATCCAATTTTATTTTTAAAACGAATTTAATCCACTTACAATTATACATTTTTTTATGCATGTTTCGTTCCATTTATATCAATTTTATATGCCTAAATCGGAATATCCCCTAGTAAATGCGTATATTTGTGTACCATATTGGCCATATATATATATATAACATGGAGAATACGTGATGAAGTAGCAATTACACAAATATTACGTGTTGAAGCTTCTTTGTTTTAAATGTGTCTTAATTCTCACACGTAATATCAAACGAAAAAAAATGTATCATAGTTATTAAACTACTTATAATTTAATTATTCGATGAATATAGACGTAATAGTACATGTTACGATTTAAATGGGCCGAAAGGACAGGTTTAGGTCCAATGATATTTATTAAGATCGATGAAAATTAA